AACAATAACTTTTTGCCTAACTCATTCCACAGAACTCTCCAAAAGTGACCAAAGAATTTGATGTCCCTATCCAATATAATGCTCTTGGGAATCTCGTGTAAATGTACTACTTCCATAAAGAATATATCCGCTATATTGGTGGCATTGTCAATTTTAGGACATAGAATGAAATGTGCCATTTTACTAAACTTATCTACCACTACAAATATTGAATTTCGTCATTTCTTAGTCCTAGGTAAACCCAATACAAAGTCTATTGAAATATCAATCCAATGTTCACTAAGAAAAGGTAGAGATGTATACTATCCTTGAGGTATAATTTTAGACTTAGCCTTTTTACAAGTGATGCATCTACTATATGCCCGATCAACATCAATTTTCATCTAAAGTCAATAAAAATTCTCACCTAGCATCTCTATGGTCTTCTTAACCCAAACACACAATTTAGTTTCCCAAAATAGATAAACATCATGTCTAAAGAACCTATCCACAGCCCCCTTATCACATATATATATTAGCCAAATTCGGGTCATTACCTTAACATGTTCAAATCCAAGCAATTTAGCACTTAAGAAAATTAAAAGCACATACCTTCTTGACAGCGCATCTGTTATCATGTTTTTTTAACCTTGTTTGTAACGAATGACATACAAGAATTTTTAAATGAACTCCATCCATCTTGAGTGATCATGGTGAATAAAATCAAATTGGGAGGCCATGATGACGCTAAATATAAAGTTGGGCGATCATTGTGAAACAAAATCAAGTTGAGAGGCCATGGTGACACTATATATAAAGTTGGATGGCCATTGGCGAATTTAAGCCTATCTTTTATATATCGATGGTCAATAAAATCATATACGATTTGTCAATTAAGAGTGGAGCATTAAAATATGTAGCTTATAAAATATAATCATTGGAACATCTCCAAAAGATTCTCTAAATACAAGATAATCTCTAATTTAGAAAATCAATATTAAAAATTAGTTATAAGAGACTCTATATTTTAATTTTTAAAACTGGAGTGAGATTCGACTCTCTAAAATTATTTTTATTATATAATATTTGCATCTAATAAGTTACACATTTCAATAATTTAATTTTAAAATTATTCAAATCATATTTAAATTGATTGGACGTTGATATATAAAAAATTATTAAAATAAAAGATGAGGAAAAATCAATACATGTATCTTGAAAAAGCAAAATAAAGAGCCAACATAGAAATATAATTGTTAGATTGTATAAAATATTTTACTTTGTGAATTTAAATATGTTCTTTATTATTCATAAGTCAATTTCTATAAATAAAGAATATATTGGAGATGATTATATAAGTAAGAACAAAGAATGTCTATGGCTCTTCGAACTTAAATATTCAAACTCTTTATCTATTTTAAAAGTTGAAACGTAGAGTTTATTGGGGTTTATTTTTAAGTATTGATTATTTATAATAGAGAGTCAAACTCACTATTTATCTTATGCATAATGGCTCTTCTAGATTGAATTAAGCAGACAATTTTATATTTCTCTTTTGTAGCTTATTTATTTTTTCTCCCCTCTACTAATTTTTTCCCGATAGTTGAGTTATAGATAGAATACATTGGAGATGGTATTTGAATTTAACAATCTATTCAATATTAAGACCTTGTTTGAGTCCCATTTTGGAGAAAATATATTTTTAAATACTGACTTTTTGAAAATGTATGGTTAAAAAGTAAGATAATATTTTCGATTTATGTGCAAAATTATTTTAATAGAGAATGTGTGATTGAAAATGAATTTAGAAAAAATGAGTTTTTGGAACAAATGGAGCTCAAACAAGGACTAAATATCAATATCACCTAAATTGAAAATCTTTCTACTTACATGTTATCTAGACATAATCAATTCACTAACTCCTAAAAAATAACGCCTAGAAAATAATGCCAAACAATTAATAATGTCCCTATTTGAGCTCTGTTATAATTAGTCTTTGTGGAAAAATGTATCTTGTAATAGTAATTTTTTGAAAAATGTGTGGTTTAAGAAGAACGAAAATTTTGGATTTAATTATAATATTATTTTATTGAAAAATGTGTAGTTAAAAAGAAGAGAGAAAAAACATTTTTAAATTAGTGAAACCCAAACAAGGGCAAAATATATTGACATGACCCAATTACTGCACAGACAAATTCAAACTATAAATAAAATAAAATTTTACAATTAGAAAAATAAAAACACTGACGAATATTTTTTTCCTGAAAAAAAAAAAAAAAAAGGACTCATAACATATAACACTGTCTCTCCAAAACTCGTTTCAACTTATCAAAAATCAAGTCATAAGGCACTTAAATCTTATATATTAATTAATTAAGCATCAATTTCCAAAACTTGTCATGGAAAAGGGATATTCCAAACAAAATATACAAGTCAAGCTTTCGCCGTTGAGAGAATACAAATGTACCCAACTAAAATTCTATTTTGAACATATGCGCCTTTTTACATATGTCTCAAATTTGTTTTCTTTAATTAAGCCTCCCTTTACAAATTTATCATTTATAAAAATGAATAGTATGAAGAATAGTAGAGAGTCTCACGAAATATATGAATAGTAAATAAATAATAGTTATGAACGAATGTTTGAAATTTAAGGTTGATTTTGATTAAATTGATAGTTAAATGGAGAATTAATGTATGATAAATATATATAACTTTTAAATATATAGTGAAACTCAAATACAAAAATTTATATACTTTTTTATCATGATGAATCATCTCATATTCATAACATATAAGAGGCATTATTTTCTAGCTTTCCTTAAGCACTATAAATCAAGAATCTCATAATACACCCATAAAAGATCAATTACAGATCTCGTACTGGCTTGTTCAAAAGCTTCTCATATTTATATTCAACTGCTTGGATGATACACGTCATGACCTATATATGACATTATTTAAATAAATTAATGAGATTAACCAATAAACAGATGCCCAAACATTCTAACTTGAAATGACTCACTGTTCTTATCTTCTTTTACATATTCTAATGCCCCATTATTGGATTGATATCAAGAAGCTTCTTAATGCAATCTTTACATAATATCCATCATTAGCACTTAATTATATCTAAAATTCGAATAAATCTGAAGTACGTACCAACATGTGTTACTTGATAACAGGAGAATAAGCCATTTTCTAAGAGACACCAACCTCCCACTAATTATTTTGCGGCTTAGTTAGGATTATGCTTTAGTTGAATCATACGATATTATGATAAAAAAAAAAAGAGAAGAAGAATCATACGATGTGTTTAGCTTTTAGAAGAGTTCGACATCATATCAGATTAATCGGTAAAGATTTCAACTTCGAGCTTCATTGTCGCTCAATTATAAAGCCACGGTGTGGCTCCCATTTAAATTTTTTTTTTCTTAAACTCAATTTCAACCTTACATTTAATGAGGTCCATAATTTTTATCAATTTTTCAATTACATTCTATCAACTTTTATTTAAAATTTACAAAAAGTTTGATTTTCAGGAAAACCTAACACGGATAAAATGTAAAATTGTTACTTTGTTAGGTTCGATAAACAATAATTCGGCCTAACATAAAGATTAAAAGTTTTAGATGATGTGATTCAAAACATCATTGTTGAACCATATATTCTGGTAGTTACTGTTAGGGAATTCAATTCAGGAACTTCTATCTTTGTGTGCTTCTCCGTACGGTGACAAATATTTGGAAGCAACACTTGTTTAAGGTTTATTGGTCACGAATAAGATTGTCAAAGCAATGTAATGACACTTGGTAGATACTTTTGCAGTGGAAAAGATTGAATTGGAAATAAAGAACAAAGTCAGTCTATTTAGTGTTATTTAGATCAGTGTGATGCTTTGAAAAAAACTGTGAAATGACAATCCGAGTAAGAAATATAATGGGAGAGTTTATATGTAATTTATGCCATACAAACTGTAGACAATAGAAACAGTAAAATCTAGTTTCTCGAATTTTCAAGGTTTTGATCAATCGCAGGTTGGGGTGTTCCAAACTAGCCTGGAAAAGGGGCCATGGACGCCCGAGGAAGATAAGCTACTTACTGAATATGTAAGCCATTAGGGTGAGGGAAGATGGAGTTGTGTTTCCGGATCTTTAGGTACGAATCATCGTAACTTTTGACTCATCGTTAAAATAGATATGTTCACTAAATTTTATTGAACGAGAATGATATGATTAATGAAAAATGGCACAGGATAAGATTCGATAGTTGTATCCTTTGTCTGCTCCAACATCTCAAATGCACCTCAAGTTGTACACTTTACTAATTAGATTCAACGAGATGAAACAACATACATATATTTTCTTCTTCCTTGTTTAATTTGAAATAATCAGGGTTGAATAGGAGTTCAAAGAGTTGCAGGCTAAGGTGGGTGAATTATTTGAGGCCTGGACTCAAAAGAGGCAATATAATACCTCAGGATGAAGGAATCATCATTGAACTCCAGCCCTTGGGGGAACTAGGTAATGACACTCTCTCTCTCTCTCTCTCTCTCTCTCTCTCTCACACAAACATACACTTCACTTATCTCTTTCACTTCATTGATTGTATCTGTTGAATGTTAATTGTCACTTTTGTTGTTACATTTTGTAGCAATCATACATATTAAAATCCGTCCTTGTAGTATCTATTTTTGCTGGTTCATATGTCAATCATTGTCATGTCTTTAACCTGAAAACAAGTAGTGTGTAGCAGGTAGGAGTAGTTGATTTGAAGTATGGTAGAAGTCTTTTGTAAAATATATGTATTGCAGCCAGTCAGTGTGTATCTATGTACTGATCTCTTTTTTTTTTTTTTTTTTATATCAGAAAATCTATCTTTCTCTTCCTATTTGGATGGTAAAACCATTAGTGCTATCAACGCCCCTTTGGCCTTGGAATACGCTGCAAGGAAGAAAGGCAGATTTTTGAGAGAAAGTCAGAAAGTAACCTTCTCTAAATATAGCCTTGTGAGTGTGAGTAATGGCTTCCGGTGGTTTCACAGCTCCTTTACCTTCGGTATTTACAGGAGAAAACTATGGTTTCTGGGCTGTAAAGATGAAAACATATCTGAGAGCCTACGATCTATGGGAAATCACAGAAAACGGAACTGAACCTCCACCACTTAGAGCAAATCCCACTATTGCACAGCTGAAGCAACATAGTGAGAAGGTTGCTAAGAAGTTTAAGGCTCTTTCTTGCATTCAATCTGCTGTCTCAGATGCAATATTCACTAGGATCATAACCTGTGAAATTGCAAAAGAAGCTTGGGATAGATTAAGGGAAGAATTTTGGGGCAATGAAAGGACAAGACAGATGCAAGTATTGAATCCGAGAAGGGAGTTTGAAACTCTAAAAATGAAGGAATCAGAAACAGTCAAAGATTTTTCTGATAGGCTGATGAAGATAGTGAATCAAATTAGGTTACTCGGTGATGATTTGCCAGATAAAAGAGTAGTAGAGAAGGTCTTGATCAGCTTACCTGAGAAGCTTGAAGCCAAGATCTTCTCACTTGAAGATTCCAGGGATCTATCCATTATATCCTTGTCTGAACTTGTCAATGCTCTTCAAGCCACAGAGCAGAGGAGATTGATCAGACAGGAAGAGCAGGTTGAGGGAGCTTTATTTGTTAAAGGAAAATACAAAGCTCGAACAAGCTATAGTGTGAAGAAACCATCCAATGAAAAGAAGGGAGTTGAGAGCAACATAAATGTTGGTGAAGGGATGAAACATCCACCATGTCCTCATTGCAAAAATACAGGACATTCACCTAAATGGTATTGGTTCAGGCCAGGAGTGCAATGTAGAGCTTGCAAACAATTTGGACACATTGAAAAAGTGTGTAAAAGCAAGAATGAGAAGCAGGATCTACAGCAAGCACTGGTTGCTGAGAATCATGAGCATCAATAAGAAGAACATTTATTCACAGCAATAAATTTCAAAGCTTGCAACAGTAATGAAGCCAGGTTGTTGGATAGTGGATGCACTCATCGTATGACCTCCAACTCTAGTATCTTTAGATAAATGATATATTCAGATCAAGAGTTAAAGTTGGGAATGGAGAGTTTGTGGAAGTAAAGGGAGTTGGTGAAATAGCAGTGCAGACTTCATCAGGTAATAAAGTTATATCTGATGTTCTCTATGCGCCTAATATTGATCAAAATTTGATTAGTGTTGGTCAATTGATTGAGAAAGACTATACACTAATATTCAAAAATAATAGATGCACCATATTTGATTCACAAAATCAGAAAGTGATGAAGGTAAGGATGAGATATAGGAGTTTCCTATTAGAATGGAAAAATGTGGATGATCAGGCACTTGCAAGCACTATAATATAATCCTCTTTATGGCACAAACACTTTGGTCATGCTAACTATACATCACTCAAACATATGCATGAATTGAAGCTAGTTGAAAATATGCCTGAAATCAGTTGTAATGTTTGTGTGTGTGATGTATGCCAATTTGGAAAGCAAACAATATTACCATTTTCTAAAAATCAAGCAAGTAGGGCAACAAAAAGGCTTGAATTGGTGCATTCAGATGTCTGTGGACTAATGAGAACACCAACTATGAATGGCAGTAAGTATTTTGTCCTCTTCATAGATGATATATCAAGAATGTATTGGGTATATTTCTTGAAAATGAAATCTGAGGTAGCAAGTGTATTTAAGAAGTTTAAGAATTTGGTGGAAAATGAATGTAATAGGAAAATCAAAGCTATCAGATCAGATAAAGGAACAGAATATTGTTGTAGTCAGTTTGATAAATTTTGTGAAGATATGGGAATCAAGTATCAGCCGACTATACCTTATTCTCCCCAACAGAATGGTATATATGAAAGGAAAAATAGAACGGTTATGGAGATGGCAAGATACTTGATGTTTGAGAAAAAAGTACCTAAGGAGTTCTGGGCAGAGGCAGTAAATACAGTTGGTATCTACTCAGCAAATTGCCTACAAAATCTTTGGATAAAAAAAATACCCTTTGAAGCTTGGTATGAAATAAAACCTGATGTATCTCATCTGAAAGTGTTTGGTAGTGTTTGCTTTATTCATGTTCCTGATGTTAAGAGGGATAAATTGAGTCAAAAGGCTAAGATAGGTGTCTTGATTGGTTTTTGGAATAATGCCAAATGATATAGAGTTTTCAATCCACAAAGTAAGAAGGTGAGATCCAGTAGAGACATCAAAGTTGATGAGGAATCTACATGGAATTGGGAATCAAGTTCAATCTAGCAACCTTATAATCCAATAGCAATTTTTAGGTAGATGATACTAATGTTAGTGAAGAAGAAGGAGAGTCGAATAGTGACTCAGAATCTGAAAATGCTATGCTGAAAACAAGGCCACTTGTAGACATATATGCTAGGTAGAATGTTGTGGCATTGGAGACTTCAAACTTTGCTGAAGCAGGAGGTTCTAAAGAGTGGATGGCTGTAATGAAAGAGGAGCTAAACATGATTGAAAATAATTGAACTTGGGTGTTGATAGACCAAAAGATAAACATGTAGTCGGAGTGAAGTGGGTATACAAAACAAAGTTAAATCCAGATGGATCTGTCAATAAACTTAAAGCCAGACTGGTTGTGAAAGGATATGCCCAACAATATGGAATAGACTTCACTGATACGTTTGCTCCAGTAGCCAGGCATGAAACCATTAGAATGCTTTTTGCTATAGCAGACTGAGGTTGGAAAATCTACCAATTGGATGTTAAATTAGCATTTTTGAATGGACGCATAGAGGAAGAGATTTTCATCGAATAACTCGAAGGTTTCCAATTGGTAGAAAATGAAGAGAAAGTTTATCTACAAAGAAAGGCCTTGTATGGACTTAAACAATCTCCAAGAGCCTGGTACAGCAGGACAGATGAACATTTGAGCAAACTTGGCTTCTTGAGAAGTTTGAATGAACAAACTTTGTACATAAAACAAGAGGAGAAAGAGATGATCATTATCTCCTTGTATGTGGATGATCCCTTGATTACTGGTGGTAGTTATACAATGATTAAGAAGGTGAAAAATGAATTTAAAAAGGTGTTTGAAATGACTGACTTAGGAGAAATGCATTATTTTCTTGGCATGGAAATATTCCAAATTCAAAGTGAGATATTTGTTTGTCAAAGAAAATATATTAGGAAGATGTTGAAGAAATTCAATAAGGAAAACTGCAAGTGACTAAGTACTCCTCTAGTTCAAAATTTGAAATTATCGAAGGATGATGGAGCCAAGAAAATTGATGAAAAAATATATAGAAGTATGGTTGGATGCCTGCTATACTTAACCTCGACTAGACCTGATCTCATTTTTGCTGCCAATATCTCATCCAGATTTAGGCAAGAACCAGGTGAACTTCATTTCCCAGCTGCAAAAAGAGTGCTGAGATATGTAAAAGAAACTAAGGAACCGGGAATCTAGTTCAAGAAATCAAAAACCTTGTTTCTAACCGGATTTACATATAGTGATTTGGCTGGCTCTGTTGATGACATAAAGAGCACATCTGGTTATGTATATTATGTTGGATCAAGTGTTGTATATTGGAATTCTATGAAACAGTAAAAGGTGGCACAATCAACTGTAGAGGTAGAATATATAACAACTTCAGAGGCCACAAATCAAGCAATATGGCTAAGGAAAGTCTTGGAGGATTTTAATCACAAGCAAGAGGAAGCTAGAGTCATTTACTGTGATAATCAGTCAGCAGTAGCAATGGTGAAGAACTCGATGTTTCATGGAAGGACAAAGCACATAAAGATCAACTATCACTCAATAAGAGAAGCTCA